AACGTCTTGTTGAAAATGGCCTTAACGCATATAACCAATTATATTCAACAATTTATAAAAATAAGCAATATGATACATAAGAATATTGATAAACAAAGAACTTATTTTATTATATGATTATAAAGAACAAATTGTATTTTAATATTTAAAAAAAGAATCTTTTGATATTTAAAGTTTAAGTACATATTCTTAGAATATAATTTTTTTCGAAACCATATTATTTAAAAAAAATCAAATTTTGATATCTTATCTATTCTTGAGATATTTAAGCGCATAGATTAAAATGGGACACTCTACAAGTTACAGCTTATTTTTAATTTGTTAAAGATAATAAACATTGAATGGATCATAAAGTCATCTGCTTTATTAATCAAACGTATTTTGTTTTTTTTTTCTTCATTTCTTTCATAAAGGATAAAAAAATCTTTTTGCAAAATAAATATGAAAAGATATTAATGCGAACAATCAAAAAAAGTGAATTACAGTTTCTTGTTACCACTTAGAATCTAGACTATTTATTCAATTCATATAAATGATTTTAAATGTATATTCAAATTAACAGTATCTGCTTTTAAGTATATGAGAAATATTCAAATATTTATATTATACTTCTATAGCTATATTTCAAGCTAGTGTAAACTATTAGTATATACTAATTAAATATTTATAGATAGTTTTAATATTTATAACTAGATATTTTTTATCATAATTTTATAATTTTTGTATTTTATAAAAAGGTTCTTCTTCGATGGCTACTGTCTGTGGTGGAAGTTTGGCATTGCTAGATGCGGGTATACCAATATCTTCATCAGTAGCAGGTGTAGCTATTGGGCTTGTAACTAAATATGATGAGACTGATATGAATATCGAAGAATACAAAATATTGACTGATATATTAGTAAGTGTGTATTTATATTTAGATAAACTAAGTTAATTTAATTTTATATTGTAATGATGCACCTTTTTGTATCATTCCGTGATCGTCGAACTGCCGCCTAAGTGTGGCGACCTGTCGGGCATAAGGCGCCACTTTTAATCTTTTCAATTAGGCTCGTACTTAATTGCGAGACAGCCTATGTTGTGAGATGCGTCCCACGCTACGCCGCCGAACTCGCCGAGCCCGTTCAGAGACGAGAGGAGATCTCTTGGAGCGACGTTCGAATTCTCGGCCGAACAATGCCGAATCCTGCCAGAGATAAAAAAGCGCCTTATCTAATCAGAGCGATGGCGGCAGCTTAATTACCGCTCACGATCCGATTCGAACCGTTCGAAAATCGGATCATCGCGTATAAAAAGCCATTCTCCGCTCTGAAAGATTAGATCTCCTGCGGATCACGACGCTCAGTCCCACGAACTGATTCGATGTTCTATTTCGAACAAAGAAAAAAGCTAGAAAAAAACACAGCGAGAAAACCGGTGAGAAAATTCAGAATTTCATATTTTAATTTTGCACAAAAAAAATAATACGATATGAAAAATTGCACTAACTATAATTCTGATATTAAGACAATTGTGTATTTATCATATATAATATTTTAATGAACTTTAGCTGAATATAATTATCTATGTGATATATAGTATATCTATGTGATATTTTGATAGAAATGTTTTTATAAGGAATTTTCCAGAATAGAGAAGATCAGATATAGATTTTTGATAGAGTAAAAGAATGTATAAAAGAATTGAGAAAAAGAGATAACGGTACATAAATCAATAAAGAAAATATATAGTAGTTTTAAAAAAATTGCAATATTGCAACCAATATATTGCAATTTGCAATATTTAAGTACATATTTTTTTTAAAAACAACTACATTAATCATTTGTCTCATTATTTTGTGCACAAAAATATTAAAGTATGATTATTAAAACATACATTTTATTTACATTTTTATTAAACAAGATATTTTATATTTTATAAGAATGTGCCAATAAGTTGTAAAATATCTCATAAATTATTGAGTTTTTTAATAATTTTACCTAAATATTTTTATATACAGACTAACTAAGATACTAAAGGATAAAAGAATCACATTTTTTATGTAATAAAAAAACGATTCCATTTTAAAAACTACTGATTATAAGAAATTTTAACAGTGATTCCATTTGAATCAATATTATCATATATTCTCCTCGAAATCTTACAACTTTTGTTTGAAACATTTTTTCATATCTTTTACATTTTTCAAGATATTTCGGGCAGATTCGGATTCGGATTCGGATCGGATCGTGAGCGGTAATTAAGCCGCCGTCACCGCTCCAATAAGTTTTTATTTTTAATTGGATTTGGCGATGTTCGGTTGTTTTCCTTCTCTCATCTCGACGTCAACGGCGCTCGGCGGTGTTCGCCCAGATTCGGCGGATCGACGTAGGAAGCGATCCCACGCACAACATACAACCGTGGCATATTTCAAAATACGTGAATTTTAATAAGAATTAAAAATTGGTGCAAAGTACCTTATGCCCGACAATGGCCGAACAATGACAGTCGGATCCACTCAGCCGGCGGATCGTGGCGGAACGATGCGTAAAAGTATGCATTGAAGTACATTATTTCTCTTAAAATTTTGAAACAATCGAATTGCAAACAATTGCAAACAATAAAAATTAAATAACATATTTAAGATATATATATTTTGTTTAAATATTTTTAATTTATATATAATTGATATTATATGATATATATATATTTCATATTTCATGTATATTTAATTTAATCAGTGTTTATAGTAATTCAAAATCTTTCTATAAATATAAAATTATTATTTATTATATCAATTTGACTTTGGAGTTGTAGATTTGCCAGAATTACATAAAATAAATGTTATCCTTAATGTTTTAAACAAGAATTTTTTTGTTTTATTGCATGTTTGAAACTAAGATACAGATCAACACGGTTATTGATCCCTTTAAAATTTTAAAATAAATTTTGCCAAATTAGGAATTATAAAAGTTTAACTACAGGGATTAATCTAAATATTCATATATTAGTAATTTTAATGATTAACAATATAAATATAATATTTATAGGGAATTGAAGATTATCTCGGAGATATGGATTTTAAAATAGCAGGTACCAAACGAGGATTTACCGCGTTGCAGCTTGATATAAAGTTACCAGGAGTTCCATCAAAAATTATAATGGAATGTATACAACAAGCAACAAATGCTAAATTGGAAATAATTAAAATCATGAATAAAGTGATATTAACACCGCGAGAAATTAAGAAAGACAAAATGCCGGTTGTTGATAATATAGAAATTCCTATTCATCAAAGAGGAAAATTTCTTGGAATTGGTGGAATGAATCTAAAGAAGATATTTTTGGAAACTGGAGTGCATGTAAAATTTTTATTATATTTTTGAAAATATTAAATATTTTTTTATTTGCAATAACTTGATAAATTTGGAATTAATTGCTTATTGTAGTTATTATAATTTGAAATATTAATTCTTTATTTTCATATTGCTTAGATATATCCTCAAGATGAGAATATCTACTCAATATTTGCGCCAAATAAAGATTCTATGACTGAAGCCAAAAAAATGATAGAAAATATTTTACAAAAAGATCGTGAGCCAGTCTTGGAGTTCGGTGCCATTTATACTGCAAAAATAGTGGAAATTCGAGAAAGTGGAGTCATGGTGACGTTATATTCCAACATGATACCGACATTATTACCTAATTCTCAGTTGGATCAACGCAAGATCCATCATCCTAATGCTCTAGGGCTTGAGGTTGGTCAAGAGATGCAGGTTAAATATTTCGGACGAGATCCGGTATCTGGACAGATTAGAATATCACGAAAGGTATTGCAAAAATCGACTTTGATTTCGAAAACTTTACATCGCGATGACGCGGAGAAAATATAAAGTTTATGTATAAAATCAAGTATTAAACTGTGTGTTTAATGTACATACATATGCATATATATATATATATATATATACATACATGTACATACATACACATACATATACATGCGCATACATACATATTCTCATACATATAAATATATGTTAATATAAATTAATATAAATATATGTATGAGAAAATAATATTATATACCTTCAGTTAACATTTAATTAAAAAGTCAACATTGTTTTTATTTGTACTACATACCAACTATACGTATTTGTCTTGTATTTTTGTATGATAATATTATAAAGAAAAAAATATAAAAAAATTTTTAAATGTATTGAATATGTTTTCGTCATCCTACTTGTACATGTATATGTGCGTGCGTGCACGTGTGCGTGCATGCATGTGTGAAAAAACAGGCGTGAATTTTCATTAATCTAATATGATAGTAGTATATTCGATTCCAAAGGAATTTATAAAACGCAAAAAGTGGCACAAAGTCCAATTGTTCTATCAACAAGAGAAATTTTCGAAATTCGCCAAGAAAATATTTAAAATCGCTCGATACACATGTCGAGATGGCGTCACAGAATAGAATCGACGCGGATATATGTATACCCGCGTTATTACATGAATTATTACAGGAAATTTAAGAAATAAGACCTGGTATATGTCTTTTAGAAGAACGTGTTAATTTCAATCGCACATATTTAGATAAATGGATTAAAGCCTTATCGCTATTATAATACGAGTAACGTTATGAACATTACATACCGCATACGCGAGATGATATCCGAAATTGACCCGGAGCGTCTAGAAGCTATCTAAAATCAAGGAGGTGCGAGACATAATACCGAAGTTCGGTGATACTTAGCGGAGCTGCCTTCGAGAATTTTTATATATAATTGCACTATGAAAAATATTGACCCAGACGAACAAATATTATTAAAGGCTATAGTGTGTACTAAGCTCAAAGTGAAGGCAATGCTCGATTTTCACACTCGCGATATTCACACTTACGAATAGTTGAAAACTGATCTTAAGAACAAATATCTTAATCAAGA